CAAAATAGAGCTGCGCACGAGTTTAGACGTCGTTCCATCTCTTTTTTCTTGGACGGCAGGTGTTTTCCGGATAATTAGTGAACACCAAGGAGCAAAAACTGCTGGAAACCCGCATTAGCCCAAAAATCCCCACTGGAAAAATGCATTGGTTAAAAAAGAAAGTTTCCAGCAGTTTCTGCACATACACCCACGGGGGTTGGAGTTCCACTACCATCCTCAACCTTAGACATAATAAGACAAAACCAATCTGTTTCAGCGAAAATCGGCCTGTTCTATTTGATATTCTACGGGATGTTGGCCGCGCTGGTTGCGATTTGCATGTGGGTGTTCCTGCAGACGCTCAACCCGCGGATCCCCAAGTGGCAGCTGGACCGCTCCATCATCGGCACCAATCCGGGGCTCGGGTTCCGCCCGATGCCCACCAACAACATCGAGAGCTCCTTGATTTGGTTCCAGGGTTCCAACCGCACCAACTACCAGCCGTGGGTGGACAATCTATCGCGTTTTCTGGACGGTAAGTGCTGTCCATTCCGGGACGCGTAGGTCTGACTGGGGCCGTTTTTAAGGGTACTACACGCCGAGCAAAATTGCCAAAGGCAGTGGCCAGATTAAGACCTGCTCTCATTCGGATTTTCCCCATGATGATGAGGTGTGCGAGGTGGACGTCCGCGAATGGGGCAAATGCAACAAGGACGAGTTCTTCGACTACCACCGGTAAGCCCGCTTTGTCTCTTCGTTAGCAGTGGTAAGTCCCAGTCGCTTTCCAGGAGCTCGCCCTGCATCTTCCTCAAACTGAACCGCATCTACGGCTGGACGCCTGATTATTACCTCTACGACCACGAGCTTCCTCCGGATATGCCCAAGCAGCTCAAAGCCCACATTAAGAGCCTCAACAACACCAGGGATGTAAGTGGTGCAGCTTTGGTGAAGCCCTTGGTGGTTTTATTGGGCCGCATTTTCAGAGGCAGAACATTTGGGTCTCATGCGAAGGAGAAACTCCCGCCGATAAGGAGTACATTGGCAGCATCTCCTACTACCCCAAAAGCGTCCAGGGATTTCCCGGCTACTATTTTCCTTATCTGAACAGGGAAGGGTATCTGAGTCCTCTAGTTGCTGTGCGCTTTGAGCGACCAGTTCGTAAGTATCTGACATAAAACGTTCCTTCTTTGTACGTACGAGTATTTTGAGGGTCTAAGAACGGTGCAAAAAATCTGTTTTTCCAGCCGGAATCGTGATCAATGTGGAATGCAGAGCGTGGGCGAAAAACATCCGATACGGAAGATCAGGCAGAGTGGGCTCGGTGCACTTTGAACTGTTGATCGACTAGATCTGAAGCCAAAGCACTGCGCGTTATAAGAAAACCATTCAATTTCCTCTTATACCTCTACATGTTTAGAATTATTGAAAGTAGTGTACTTGTAAGTAGTTGGAGCGCAGTTTGAGCCTGGACTGTGCGCGTTGTAAATAAGCTAAAATACTCTCATTAAGGAAACGTTGTACCTTAAGTCGCCGCCAACAAGTAATTTATATTCTTCACGCTAGAACGGTTGGATGTAAATGACCCGAAAATGCAATAAAAACGATTTTTTATCTTCAAATCCAAGTTGGCTTTCAATGTCCTTGTTAGATGCTCCAGAAAGGCGCCCCATCATGACCGCTTCTAATCACCCCCTTCAGACTTACGCAGGTGCCAAAAAATGGTAAAGGAAGCTCCATTTTACATGTGATGTGAATCTGGTGTCATCCRATCCACTGGTTTCTTCATAATTTATTCTTAAACTCGGGTTAATTTTTGCGCGGTTGCTTGATTTTGCACCCTGGCCTTCTAATGGCGGTTTTTAATCACATACTTCACATAGTGTTTTGCTGGTTTTAAAAATGGAAAACGGAAGCTTCATTTTACATGTGATGTGAATCGGGTTTCATTTGATTCACTGGTTTATTCATACTTCAGTCTGGAACTCGGGTTAAATTTAGCGCGGTTGCTTGATTTTGCACCCTGGCCTTCTAATGCCGGTTTCTAATCACCTACTTCAGATAGTGTTTTGCGGGTCCTAAAAATTGAAAACCGAAGCTTCATTTTACATGTGATGTTAATCTGGTTTCATTCGATCCACTGGTTTCTTCATAATTTATCCTTAAACTCGGGTTAATTTTTGCGCGGTTGCTTGATTTTGCACCCTGGCCTTCTAATGCCGGTTTCTAATCACCTACTTCACATAGTGTTTTGCGGGGCCTAAAAATTGAAAACCGAAGCTTCATTTTGCATGTGATATCAATCTGGWTTCCTCCAATCCACTGGTTTCTTCATAATTTATTTTTAAACTCGGGTTAATTTTTGCGCGGTTGCTTGATTTTGCACCCTGGCCTTCTAATGGCGGTTTTTAATCACCTACTTCAGATGGTGTTTTGCGGGTTTTAAAAATGGAAAACGGAAGCCTCATTTTACATGTGATGTGAATCGGGTTTCAGTCGATCCACTGGTGTCTTCATACTTTAGTCTGGAACTCGGGTTAAATTTTGCGCGTTTGCTTGATTTTGCACCCTGGCCTTCTAATGGCGGTTTTTAATCACCTACTTCACATAGTGTTTTGCGGGTCCTAAAAATTGAAAACCGAAGCTTCATTTTACAAGTGATGTCAATCTGGTTTCCTTCGATCTACTGGTTTCTTCATAATTTATTTTTAAACTCGGGTTAATTTTTGCGCGGTTGCTTGATTTTGCACCCTGGCCTTCTAATGGCGGTTTTTAATCACCTACTTCAGATAGTGTTGTGCGGGTCTTAAGAATTAAAAACCGAAGCTTCATTTTACATGTGGTGTTAATCTGGTTTCATTTGATTCACTGGTTTATTCATAATTTATTCTTAAACTCGGGTTAATTTTTGCGCGGTTGCTTGATTTTGCACCCAGTCTTTCTAATGCCAGTTTCTAATCACCTACTTCAGATAGTGTTTTGCGGGTTTTAAAAATGGAAAGCGGAAGCTTTATTTTACAGGTGATGTGAATCTGGTTTCATCCGATTCACCGGTTTCTTCAGAATTTATTCTGGAACTCGAGTTAAATTTTGCGCGGTTGCTTGATTTTGCACCCTGTCTTTCTAATGCCGGTTTTTAATCACCTACTTCAGATAGTGTTTTGCTGGTTTTAAAAATGGAAAACGGAAGCTTCATTTTACATGTGATGTGAATCGGGTTTCAGTCGATCCACTGGCTTCTTCATACTTTAGTCTGGAACTCGGGTTAAATTTTGAGCGGTTGCTTGATTTTGCACCCTGGCCTTCTGATGGCGGTTTTTGATCATCTACGTCAGATAGTGTTTTGCGGGTCTTAGAAATTAAAAACCGAAGCTTCATTTTGCATGTGATGTCAATCTGGTTTTCTTCGATCCACTGGTTTCTTCATAATTTATTTTTAAACTCGGGTTAATTTTTGCGCGGTTGCTTGATTTTGCACCCTGGCCTTCTAATGGCGGTTTTTAATCACTTACTTCAGATAGTGTTTTGCTGGTTTTAAAAATGGAAAACGGAAGCTTCATTTTACATGTGATGTGAATCGGGTTTCAGTCGATCCACTGGTGTTTTCATACTTTAGTCTGGAACTCGGGTTAAATTTTGCGCGTTTGCTTGATTTTGCACCCTGTCCTTCTAATGCCGGTTTCTAATCACCTACTTCAGATAAACACTATCTGATCACCTACTTCAGATTCAGATTCAGATAAAATCATCTACTTAAGATAGTGTTTTGCGGGTCTTAGAAATTAAAAACCGAAGCTTCATTTTGCATGTGATGTCAATCTGGTTTTCTTCGATCCACTGGTTTCTTCATAATTTATTCTTAAACTCGGGTTAAATTTTGCGCGGTTGCTTGATTTTGCACCCTGGCCCTCTAATGCCGGTTTTTAATCACCTACTTCAGATAGTGTTTTGCTGGTTTTAAAAATGGAAAACGTAAGCTTCATTTTACATGTGATGTTAATCTGGTTTCATTCGATTCACTGGTTTCTTTATAATTTATTCTTAAACTCGGGTTAATTTTTGCGCGTTTGCTTGATTTTGCACCCTGGCCTTCTAATGGCGGTTTTTAATCACCTACTTCAGATAGTGTTTTTCGGGTTCTAAAAATGGAAAACGGAAGCTTCATTTTACATGTGATGTGAATCGGGTTTCATTCGATCCACTGGTTTATTCATACTTCAGTCTGGAACTCGGGTTAAATTTAGCTCGGTTGCTTGATTTTGCACCCTGGCCTTCTAATGGCGGTTTTTAATCGCCTACTTCACATAGTGTTTTGCTGGTCCTAAAAATTGAAAACCGAAGCTTCATTTTGCAAGTTATGTCAATCTGGTTTTCTTCGATCCACTGGTTTCTTCATAATTTATTCTTAAACTCGGGTTAAATTTTGCGCGGTTGCTTGATTTTGCACTCTGGCCTTCTAATGCCGGTTTCTAATCACCTACTTCAGATAGTGTTTTGCGGGTTTTAAAAATTAAAAACCGAAGCTTCATTTTGCATGTGATGTCAATCTGGTTTCCTCCAATCCACTGGTTTCTTCAGAATTTATTTTTAAACTCGGGTTAATTTTTGCGCGGTTACTTGATTTTGCACCCTGGCTTTCTAATGGCGGTTTTTAATCACCTACTTCAGATATTGATATGCGGATTTTAACAATGGAAAACGGAAGCTTCATTTTACATGTGATTTAAATCGGGTTTTATTCGATCCAGTGGTTTCTTCAGAATTTATTTTTAAACTCGGTTAAATTTTGCGCGGTTTTTATTTTTTAAGTGGACCCAAAATGCAATTAACCAACGATGTTTCATCGTTAGACCTTCCAGTAAACACACACAGGCACGTCCTAGAAACATTTGCGACGTCCCTAAAACGTTCATCGGAAGTAACTGGGGTGAAAAACCCTCTTATTGGTCCAAGTAGCGACCTTCCTGTGGTACTTAAACGCAAACCGTGCCTGCTAACTGAACTAGATCCATCACTAAACATCAATTTAAAGACAGCATTGATCTTTTGCAACATCTGTGACGTCCCTGTAACGTCCCGACTCAATAAATCACTGTTCGATGAAAAAATCGATTAACATGGCAATAAATCAAGCAAACGACCGCACATTGATTAATAAAATCTGGATGGGCAAACAAGAGTCGGCCGACAGAGATGTCGTATGAGTCGACGCCGAACAGAGGCGTCGCGCAGCATACGAAACTGCGACGCGCAACTCGATACTCCTGCCGACGCCTCCAACCCTTCTTGCAGGAACCGGTGTCAGAGTCGGCTGGACAGTGCAGAAATGGCGGACAAAAAACCGGAAAATCAGTTTTACACGCGACCACCGAAACTGGGCAACTGGGAGGCCTTCAGCATCTTCCTATGGAACTCCGAGACCAAACAGTTCTTGGGCCGAACCGGGGCCAGCTGGGGTAAGTGCAGTTTTTTACTTTTCGGTCGAGTTTTTTTTGCAAATTCACCCCACAGCAGTGCAAGTTGCGTAAGTGAGTGGGGCTGCAAAACTCCACCGGGGGTAACTTCGCCACTGCAAAACGGGGGTCAATCAGGCGACGCCCCGACTTGTTCGCATTTAAAACCGCCAATTAAGCACAGATTCGGCCGCATTTGGACATAAACATCGCTATTTTCGTCCGATTCTGATTAGTTTAAGCAATCACGTCGCACTGTGATGTAATTGCCTAATTGCTCAGTTGCAGCACATTCTTTAAACCGTCTTTGCTTCTAGTCTGTCGCATAATCGCAATTAGGCGTCGCCATGAAATATGCTGCGCAAATTCAGATTAATGAGCTGAAGCGCGTTGAAATGTTGCAAAATACAGGAAGCCCATTATTTACATATTCATTTGCACCTCGTTTGCCGGCCATGCACATTCGAGCGTCAATTCGCCTTAATTACCACTAATTAAAAAACTTTTTGCCAACGTTTTCCCATTTCCATTAGCATCAGAGGACCGAAAGTTGATGTGTTTTGGACGCTAAAAGTATGAAACTTTTTCAATATGGGAGTACCAGGCAGGTAAGTAGTATCTGGGTCAGTGTCGGGGGGGAAGTGGGGGGTGGTTTCTGGGCAGATAAT